TGGAACCCTGGTACTGGTGGTTGATTTTGACCCATGGATGTAGATCGGAAGCATGGTTATACTCAGAAATTTCCCAGACATGTCAGTGCTTTGGGCAGGAGGGAGAAGCTCGTGTCAATATTAGTACATCATTTGGCGCAGGAGCTCGCCCTGCATGGCAAACGGAACATTTATAAGCTTGCTATTAAAGCAGTAGGACACAAACGAAAGGGCACGCTGGAGCAGCCGCAAGTTTAGTTGTTGAGTCACTGTGTTCGCGTTTGTGTTTTGCGGCTTGTCTGCTTCCGGCAGGAAGGAAGGAGCCGATCGCTTTTCCGGAAGGGTTTTAAGCATCACAGCGGCAGAAAAAGTGTCAGGAGGTCACGCGCAAAGGTGAAGACATACCGCTCACAATTCACAGGAGGGTACATATACATTTTGCTATCGCAACCAATTCTGGTGCCATTAGAGGTGCGTCGCTAGCTCTCGGACTTTCCATTTTCGCATGCGATCTCATGAGCTCTGTCCCGCCTTGGCCAAAAGCGCTGAGTTTGCTTTGTGGGGTTGCCGGCGGATCACGAGTTGACTATTCCAGGGGATGGTCTTTTCACACCCCTGGGGGCAGCTGGAGAGACAGAGAGAGAGAGAGAGAGAGAGAGAGAGAGCGATACTGATTTAGATGCATTGGGCATAAGGGAAGCCATTGCAGCCTAGCGACTGTGACCATTGGTGGCCATTCAGGACTAAGGGGCCATGAACTGTCCATTGCTCCCCTTACAGAATTGGACATAATACAGTAGATGGACAAAATCCATTTTGCACCACTGTTCAGAAACGCTGGAATGATTATTCCACTGTAATTTCCATACCAAACGTTATGGTTTCAACCATGGTTTCATTTCACGCGAACGAGTTTTGTCCATCCACAGAATGGTACCTGGATCCATCTTCCCTCGCCAGGGCACCTTGTCCGTGGCCTCTCAGTGCTTTTCCCAGCTGGCGGAGTGCGTGCAGGCGAGCCTTTTTTTTCTCCCGCGCAGGCCGCGTTGGGTGAATAGAGGGTCCGAATTGACGCGATGGCAAATGGATGCAACCCCCCGTCCTAGCTTGTGGTGAAATTGCATTTGTTGCCTTCGTTTTGCATGCTCAACGGCTTGCCTGTCCTGCTTTGTATGCTTTGCGCTACTGCAACGTGTTTCGCTTTTGTGGCTGTGGCGGGTCTCTTGATTGGGTGGTTGGGTTTCAGTCCTGTGCCAGCTCCATGGGAGAAACCTGAGGCCTCGCAACCAAGAAGAAGCTGGTAATGTTGACCCATATTAATCAACCCCGGTTTATATAATAGGGGGGTGTCAGACCACTTTTGGAGGGGGAACACCCATATCAATAAACTGGGGTTGATTAATAGGCGGTCGATATTACCAGCTTCTTGATTTGCCTCCACTTTGCTATCCAGACGGCGTTCAAACTGGGCGCCATTTTGGAAGCTGTTCTATCCAAGCACCGGGTTAGCTCGCAATTGACTGACATATCCCCAGCTTATCATCCAACAGAAGCCTTGCTGCCTTGGCTACCCCTGCTTTTGCTCACTCCCCAGGTTGCTACAAGCTTCAATTGTTTTGGGCTTGCACCATCTTAGTGGACCACCAAAAGTTTTGGGTTGACGTTTTATTTGGCCATGTGGACTTGAAGCTGTTTGGGCTTGGACCATTGTCGTGGACGAAACGTTTGGTTGCTGATTTCTGGCTGGCCCCCAATGGCCCCCAGTCGTCCCCTTGGCTTTTTAGGCTTTTAGGGTTTAGTGGCAGTTTCCGTTTAACCCACTCTTTTAGCAGGGGATCAGAGAACAGCCCAGATTTTGTTTGGCCAATCCACTCGCTCGGAAGTGTGAGTTGCCTAGTGTCCTTTCTGGTTGTTTAGGTAGAAAAATAAATGGCCCTGGTGTACCTGGTGGTTTAATCATCTACCATCTATTTTCCAGCAAACGGTTTGGACTTTTGTTTGTAGGCTACTAAAAGGGTACTAAAAGATGACAAAAAACATGGACCAACACGGGGAAGAACAGCTTTGCCTCCACAAAAAGCGCGTATTCCAAACCCGTTTTCTCTAAAAGGACGCCTGTGCGAAGGTTCGTATTTCAGGTGAATTTCGTGTTGGGGCGCTGCGAAGGTCCGGAGCTGCGAAGGTTCGGTGGGGACCATTTGGAAGGGGTACTTGGAGTGCGCCCTGGACGGCAGCAACCCCTGGAAGGACCGCAAGCTGGGGCTTCGGGGGCCGAAGGCCGAAGCCGAGCGAACGCAGGTCCTAGGTGGGAATGATGGGCTGTGAGGCGGGTAAGGTTTTTATGTGAAGGTTTGGATTGGGAATGGTGGGGATGATTGTTGGTTTAGGAATTTGAACTCCTGCTTCTCATAGATGGCAGATGGGAAACCACTCCTAGTTATCCTCCAAACCAAATATTCATATACCCTTTGGATCTATGGTTTTGTCCGCATGACTTTGTCACGCCTTTGTCCTGCAAATTCATTTGGAAAGATGTCAAAGCCTGGAATGGGGAGGTGTTGTTTTGATGCGTCGGTGAAGCCAAAGGGAAGCCCACCATTTTACGGTTCCCCTATTTGAGACAATCTACTTGTTGGCCCTTGCGCTCCAAGGCTCCTATATGGGTATTTGTTCGGGACAGCGCTTGGAAGGAAGGGGTTTGCAGTTGTTGCTTCACCCTTCACCACCCAAGGCATTATTCCAGTAGGGCGCATGTCTCATTGACCTCCTCGCAATTCGGGCACCGGAGGTCAGGTCTGCAAAATGTTTGCAAGGAGTTACTTGCAAGAGGTGCCAGCCTTTTGCTGTAATAATTTCCCTCACCCAAAGCGAAACCTAAGCAACCTAGGTACAAATGATGTCTTAGTCCACCATGCAGGGTTTGTCTCAAAATGGCAAACTTATTTTTTTAAAACAAATGGTGCTCGTTGTATTCATTCCCCTTAACAGACACCAACCAACGGGTGTTCGTGGAAATCAACAACACATATGACACCCATGAACCTCAAAGACATGATCTGCCAGGAGCTGGGCAGTACCTTGCAGCTGGGGGCCTTTGGCATCGCCAGGACGGGAGAAACTCGCAACCCGCTGTCCGAGACGTCTGTGGACGGAATCCATTTCGCAACCAAGTTGGTTCCCCGCGGGAACCGTCATTCCAGGGCAAACCTGGATTCAGAATGGTTGAGATGCCTTCCACATCCCTGTGGATGGACGAAATCCGTTTCGCACTACTTTGAAGCCATGGGCAACCATTTGTTAGTTGGCATTGACAGGGGAATCATCATTCCAGGGTTTCTTAGGTGGTGCAGAATTTCGTCCACAGTATGGCCCTATGGCTGTGGCTCAAAATAGGGTAGCGTTAAAACTGGGGTCCAGTTCCAGGTAATTTTACATTTTGACCTATACCTTTATGAAAGATGAGTCAAAGTACCCACCTGGAAGTTTGCATGGAACCGGTCCTGCAACAGGAGAACGCTCTAACTGTTGTTCACAGCTCCATGCTAATTTGCAGGAGTGTAGGAATCGGACCCCAAAACGGGACCGGTGGCCCGTAGGTTTCCACACAAAAAGGGTACCAGCAACAAAACACAGACCGTTCTATGCTTAAGTCGCTTCTGGCCCATCCCTGTCAAGGTTGCCTTCCGGCAGATGAGGGAGTTTGGAGCGAGTGAACTCGTGCAATCCTGTGCATACGTGTCGCAAGTTCAGTGGGTTGGTCCATTTCGCAATTCGCTTAATTGGCTAGAGGTTATGTGGCTGGGTGTGCTTGGGGAACCCCAAGTGGGTTATTCTTTTGTTACCTGTTGTTTCCCTTTCACGCCCACAAACAAAAAGATATCTTCAATCAAAGACGCGCGCCCCTGTGTTCCAAAGGCAGCTTCTGATCCGGAACACTTTCAAGTTGAACCCAGCCGATCCCAAGGTCCCTGGTTTGCTTTCCGGGTGGCAAGCCCTTGGTTGCCGACGGGGGAAATGGAGTCACTGGGGATCACGAATTCAAGCTGCCCCCAAACAGAAGGAACCAAAGCCTGAATCCATTCGCTGCCGCGCAAAGAATCGTGCCTGTGTTCTCGTAGGGCTGGGTATTTGGGGCAGACCGGCTCCCGGCTGGAGGGGGACAATTCGACACGGGTGTATCTTTTCTGAGGCTAACCTTGTGGTTGGTTTGAAGGGATACCAAAAGGAAAAGCAACTTGGAGTGTTCCCCTATCTTGAAAACACAGTTATGTTCGCGGAGCTTTGTTGGCTTCGTTCTTGGCACGCGTGTTTAGGGGCATGCTGTACCCCGACGATTTTGAACACATGTTTTACCGACTATGCCGAGCAACTGCAACTCCCAAGTCTCAACCAAACATTTCCCATGAACACTAGAGCACCAGCTTTTGTGGGCTCACAAGCCACAAGGCCAGTTGGGGGTTGGAACTGCGTGGATCGGTTTGGGGGAGATGACCTGTGCCTGTGATTTGGGTCTGTCTTTTTGGTTGAAAGGGAAGCCAACCCTTTTGGGGGTGTGAATCCTATTTCAAGATGACTACTTTCCGGTCTCCAAGAATTGCCAGGAGCTCTTTGGGAGACTTTGCCGAGCACCCTGAGCATGAACTTACTGGTGCCATGTTTGTCACTTCTCTCAAATCGCCCTGCTTGAGAATCGGGCCGTCCATTTGGTGGTGAAACCCGGTTCCAAATCAATCCTTAGTCCGTATCCCAGACTGTGACGGTTTCCCTAGTGGTGCCCCTCTGCAGTTTGCCCCCCAACTTCCCACAAACCCGCCCCCCACCCGCATTTTTCATATGAAGCATTTAGCCGCAGACCACGCTGCGCCGCCGCCGTAACCGCCGAGCGCCTAATTTGTTCTGCAAACGTGCAATTCCCAGTGCTCCAAACTGCTCAGGAGAAAGCAAATGAAGGATACCTGTGGCCTCTTTGGAGATGAATCAGCGGACTTTCTTTGGCGTTTCCCAGGCAATCACCGCGAGGCTGGCGCTTTTTTTTAAGTGACAAAGGACGTAGCCTTGCGCCATGCATGGCGCGGTTCGGCGAAAGCCGTGGAGCCCGCAAAAGCGCACCGCCCTGGGAATACAGGCGGGGATGCGAGGGAGGGCGGATGCCTTCGTTGGTCCTCTTGTGTGTTCTTCGGTTGCTTTTTGTGGTGCTTCTTCTGCTTTTCTGTTGTTCTTCTGTTTTTTGTTGTGCTTCTCTTCCTTTTTTTTACAGGGGGCTGTGATGCTGTTTGTTTATTTCCGGCTATCTATTCATCCGTTGGTATGTTTGTCTATCTATGTCTGTCCACCTAATATCTACCTAATCCAATGTATTCTAATCAGTTTAAATGTGATCCAATCAATTTTATCTAACCATGTATCTAGTCTATATATCATATCTATCTATTTATCCATCCATCAATCTATCTATCTATCTTATCCCACCAAACGTTCTAACCACGACTAAAAATGATAACTACGACGGAAAACAAACTACAACAAAAACACGGATGCACGTACACTATAGAAGGAACTATAAAGGCTGAGGGCGCCTTCCATTTCCTTTTACAGCGCCTTCTATTTCCTTCTGCAGAACCTTCGATTTCCTTTTACAGAGCCTTCTATTTCCTTCTACAGAGCTTTCTTTTCCTTTTGCAGAGCCTTCTATTTCTTTCTACAGCGCCTTCTATTTCCTTCTGCAAAGCCTTCTATTTCCTTCTAAAGAACCTTCTATTTCCTTCTACACAGCCGTCTATTTCCTTCTACAGAGCTTTCCTTCTACAAAGCCTTTTATTTCCTTGTACAGATCCTTCCATGTCCTTCTGCAGGGCCTAGCATTTTCTTCTACAGCGCCTTCTAGTTCCTTCTACAGAGCCTTCTATTTCCTTCTATAGCGTACGTGCTAAACATTTGTGTTTTCCGTCGTGGTTATTTTTTTGTTGGCGTGGTTAGCGTTTACGTTTTTCGTCGTGGTTAGTGCGCCTCCTCATCTTATCCATCCATCCATGCACCCATCCACCCATCCGCCCATCATCCATTCATCCATCCATCGGTCTATCCATCTATCCATCCATCCATCCATCCGCCCATCCATCCATCCATCCATCCATCCATCCATCCATCCATCCATCCATCCATCCATCCATCCATCCATCCATCCATCCCACCCTTCCATCCATCCATGATCCATCCATCCAGTTTGACTGCCTGCCTGCCTGCCTGCCTGTTTTTATATCTATCGATCGGTTTATATGTTTATATATCTGTCTTTCTATCGTATTTGTTTGCTGTTTATTTCTTGCTTTATTTCTGTCTGCCTTATCTGTCTCCCTGCCCTGTGGCAATTCAATATAACGATCCAGTCTAATATTTGTGGATATTTTGTCTATCTAAATGTTGGTGACCTTATCTTATCTAACTTGCCTTCCTACCTACGTACCTACCCACCTACCTATCTATCTATTCATCTATGTATCTATCAATCTATCTAATCTGATCTAATCTAACCCAACCAAACCTAACCTAATCTATGTATCTATCTATTTGTTTGTCTGTCGGTTTGTCTAATCTATCTATCTATCGATTGATATATCTATCTAGTTATGTGTCTATCTATCTATCTATCAATCTGTCTATCTATCGATATATCTGTCTATCATATCTGTCATATCTATTATATATATATATATATATCATACATGTAATTTCTAACATGCCTATCATACCTAGCATCATGTCTATCATATCTATAATATCTATCATATCTGTCGTATCTATCATATCCATCATATATATCATATATATATATATATATCATAGCTATACATTTATCGATCTATCTATCTATGTTTGCTTGTCTGTCTATCTATCTAATCTATCTAATTATCTATCAAACGATCAATATCTTTATCTATCGATCTATCTATCTATCGTTGTTTTTTATCGATCTATCTACCTATCTGTCTATTTATCTAATATGTCTGTCTGTCTGTCTGTCTGTCTGTCTGTCTGTCTGTCTGTCTGTCTGTCTGTTTGTCTGTCTGTCTGTCTGTCTGTCTGTCTGTCTGTCTGTCTGTCTGTCTGTCTATCCGTCTAAATGAGTTGTTTCTTTTGGAACTGGATACCCTACCTCGATCGTGAGCAAGTAGCTTGCGACCACGGTAATATGTCCACCTGCTATCCAGCTCATGTCCTTGTTTATTTTGTATATTTATATGACTATATGATTACAACCTGCGAATTGAACCTTGGTTGAACCTTGGTTGTGTGCTTATCCGCTGCTCATAACCTTTGGCTACTTGCTTCATGTCCTTGGTTTCCTTTACATGTTTATATGTATATATGCTTATGACCTGCGAATTGACTGTGTTGAACATCCCCAGCTCTCAAGACGCGCCCCTGTTTTTTCCCGGGCACCGCGAGCCTGCTCCGGTCGCGACCCGTCGCGAGGCCGCGGTGCTGTGTGTCCTTATCGCCTGGCAGGGGGTGAAGCTGCGCAGCCAAGAGCTGGTGGCCATTGGTCACGCCTACAGCTCTGCGACCAATGCTGTGCAGTGGCCATATGCACCTCGGAGCAAACTGCTCCTCTTTTTTGGCTGAAGAAAATTCGAGAGCGGGCCGCTGTGGGGCACGGAGTTGTGCAATTATTCTTTTCGCGTGTTTTCTATGTTTCCCCCAAACGCCGGCCCCATGACCACCCCTTCTGAAAGAATATATGTTTCTTTGCACCTTGGAGAAACAAAGCCTTTTTGGTGAAAAGTGTTTCCCTATTTCGCTACTGGAGATATTTTGTTTTTTTATAGGGGGCTTCATCAAACGGACGACTTGGCAAGAAAAAGAAGTTCAGCGGCATTTTTCCCCAAAAGAGGTGTTTGGTTGAAGGGTTGCTGGTGGGTGGGTGGTGACATTTGGATAAAACTAGACCTGAGGTGCAATTTACTGCACCTATTAGGTGCCATTTGCTAACTTCTACCATTCGTCATACTTGGTTTGTCAATGTAACCATGGGTGAAGGGCACGCTATGCGGAGGTCACCCTTTCGGGTGCTTGGCATTTGCACCGACCAAACAACAAGCGCCGCGGGCTGTGTTGCTCGCGTGAGGGGCATGCCTTGCCACCGACGTTACTGGTTTGTGTGGACTGGTTTCCCATTTTGCCTGGACTCCTGCTTTTCCGTGCATGTCGACGTTCGCACGCGTGAGAGCGAAAGGACTGGCAAGTGGTGCAGTCAGTGCGTCGTTTCTCAAGCCTTCCGAACACCACAACATTTCTGCGAGGTAGTTGCGGCGACCATTTTCCTGGTCGAGTTCCTGATTTGTTTCTTACTCATCCTGCTGCTGCGGCTCATGCTGCATTTCAAGGACTTCGCGCGGTTCGTGTCCAAGTCGGAAGCGCAAAGCTCGACATACAGGCCCCCCCAGGAGCAGGCCCATACGCCAGATTGCGTCGCAGACGGAAAGCAGACATGTGCAAAGACGGACATACGAATAAGCATGCACACAAAACACTCAACAACAGTACGCAATGTACACACAAGCAGGGGCAGGCATAGCCACCCACTCCAACCAAGCTACCCGTTTGCGCACGCATATATACACATTAACATGCCCGGACTCAACAAGGCAAGAACCCAGGCATGCGGGCATGTACACACATAGTACACCTGCGCGCACATGCACGCACTCACTTGTATGCAATACACGCACACGCGTACATTCCCAGCAACCATCCACACACACATACATACAGACACACAGACACACATCCATCCATCCATCCATCCATCCATCCATCCATACATGCATACATGTATCAGATACATACATACATACATACATACATACATACATACATACATACATACATACATACATACATACATACATACATACATACATACATACACACACACACATACATTACATACATTACATACATTACATACATTACATACATTACATACATTACATACATTACATACATTGCATTACATTACATTACATTACATTACATTACATACATACATACATAACATAAATAACATCCATCCATACATACATACATACATACATGCATGCATGCATACATACATACATTACATAAATACATACATGCATACATACATTACATACATACACACATACATACATACATAAATACATACGTACATACATACATACATACATACATACATACATACATACATACATACATACATACATACATACATACATACATACATACATACATACATACATACATACATACATACATACATACATACATACATTACATACATACACGTACATTACATTACATTACATCACATCACATCACATCACATCACATCACATACATTACATACATTACACACGGTACATACGTCACATACGATACATACGTTACATACATTCGTACATTCATTCATTAACCCATTCATTCATACATACACACATACACACACAAGCACAACACAGAAGCACACAAAAACAATCCAAAGCACACCACAAAAGCACACAAAAGCACACTCTTTCACAAACAGACTCGCACATACACAGCGCACACACACAGATACAACCACACACAGACACACACAGACACACAGACACACACACACAGACACACACGCACACACACACACACACACACACACCGGACACAGACACACACACACACACACACACATATATATATATATACACATACACACACATGTATATACATACGTACACATATACACACATATACACATACACAAATATGTTTGGGGGAGTGAGACCTCAATTGCCCGTACCTCCCGCGGTAAACGCTAAAGCGAGTCCCAATGTAGCACTTCTTTGCTTTCAGAAGTCCGCTCATGACTTTTGGGTGTCCCCCCCCCAAAAAAATAACTCCCAAAAAGCGAAACAGGGTAGCAACTCAGAAAAAAAGCGGAGGAGAAAAGGGGGGGGATCTGAGATCGGATTTGGGTGGGATCTGAGAGGGGGGGACTTCCGCCTGCGCTCCCTCCGTGAGGACCCTGGAAGCGGGGAGGTCCTATTTCTGGTGCGCTTGAGAGAGGTGGCCGAGATGTTGGCCTTCATCGCCTTCTTCGTGGCTCGGCTCGCGTTAGACGCGGAGCGGGGAGCGGGGGGAAGAGGGGAAGAAGGGCTTGACCCGGCACCCGGTACCCGGTAGGGCCGGGTAGGGGGAACCCACAGGAAAAAAGAAAAAAACTGGATTGCCAGTTGCTTTTTTTTCCCATGTACTTTAGGCATAAAACCAGCAACGGTGACTAAACAAAGCAGCAACTTAGTTGGATGCGAACTACGAATCAGTGATGCAAGAAATATCAAAGATGCTTCTGGCAGTGGGGTGATTTTACCATGGGGACACCTCGCATCATTCGGCCTTCAACCTTTGGAAAGTCTCGGCCTTTCGGATTCGCTTTATGCCATGAAGGCGCGGGCCCGGGGTGCTTTTAGCTCGAGGCAGCCGCTTTGTTTGGGTTTGGTCACCAGGGGTGACACCTCCCAGTTCAAATTCAATGGCTCCAGTCGGTCCTTTTTTTTTGGCCCAGGCAGGCGTCTTCTACATCTACGTGCTGTCTCGGCAGCCCCAGTCCATGTATCACATGAGCGCAGGCTCCTTTTTTGAAGGTACCAAGGACCGCTCATGGAATCGTCTGACGGGGGTGGTCTCTCACTGAGTGAGTTCCGTTTCGGACTGGAGTCACCCTTCTGGGTTTGGACCATTTGCTTCGTACTTGAGTCACCTTTTGGGTTTTGACCATTTTCACCACAAAGTTAACAAGTTCAGTGGGGGGCGTGGTGTGTGTAGAGCTGTCGCTGTACCTTTCTCTTGAGCTGTTGATTGGTGACTGGTTACCATGTAGGTGTGTGTATGTGTTTGTTTTGCTTGATCCAACCCAAATGGTGGTTTTCCTTTTCGCTTCCCTGGAAAATTAACCAACAAAGGGCCATATGTCACGAGGGCCAGGCCTTCCAGAGCAGAGAATGCCACAAGAGGTTTCCCAAAAAAAAGTGGGGCGGGGGGGATTCCGTAAATGGATGGTCGGTTACGTCCTTGCTGGGGTAAAGGCTGCACGGGCCAGCAGCTTCGAGCGCTCGGCGCGTGTTGGATGATGCCTAGGCCAAAGAGTTTCTGTTGCAGTCACTTCTGGGTACTCCTCCGACAATTTGATCATTTCCTGCATGCAGGATGCAGGATGCATGTTTCTCTTATCCCCTGGAGTTGCACATACGGGGCATTTTGGCACATCCTGCAGGGGCACGGTTCTGCTCTGTTGCTTCATTTCTCGTTCCCTGAGTTTCTGGCCTTTAGACTTTATGGGAAGGCCTTTGTAGTGGTAAGCAAAAGTTCCTGTTTTTTATTTGACCGATCCACTCAGAAAGTGCGATTTACTTCCTCTACGATACAAATTGAAGGAAACTTGGCCTGAGGATTCCTTCTCACTGTCAGAACCTCCAAGCTTGAGGCCCTAGCCAGCTTGCTCCAGATCCCTAGAGGAAATGTTCTACATGCAAGCAGGAAACGCTGCGGCAAGCCTGTGCACATTTGGAGTTCTCTACTGTTGTTGCCAAGTTGTTGGGTTCTTTGTGTTTTTTGCTCCGTTCATTATTTGGCAGGAGGCTTAAAGCAAGAATGTGGTTTGTTGCCATACCCAGGGGGGTGTAAAGAAGCGCGCATGATGAAACCCCTCCAAACAAGCCGAGACCCTGGCATTTTCCAGCAAGCCTTTTCTTGCTTGCCGCAAGCTGGTTTAGGTACCCTGATAGCTTGCATCGGTGATTTGAAGATTTGGAAGCCCTGGCTCTAGAGGGTTCATGTGGTTTCCCCACCCTTTCACCACCAAACCCAGCGATTCGGCTCGCTCCAAACCACCGATTCTTTTTCGGTGTAGGAAACCAGTTGAGAAAATATCGGGTGGCGAGGCCCCGTGATGTTCTGCCTTCGGTTTCCCTGGATTCCCTCTTACCATAGCTTTGCTTGTGCCTTGGCAATGTCCTGGCATGGGATGTACACCAAGTTACCAGGTCCATGGATCTGGTTGACCCCGGAATTCAAACCCACCCTTAAAACAATGGTTGGGTTCAATGTACCCACCATGGTGGTACCTAAGGATTGTCATCATCCAACTTGGGTCCCAAGGCCATGCTTTTAATGGGTGCATGGAACCCTAGGGTACGGTTTTCCCAACAAGTTTCTAAAGTCCAGTCAGGAAGCTGTCGAGTTCCTCGGAAGGTGGGTGCCTTTTTTGGTGTTGGTACCCAAAGCGCCAGCTGGCCAGGAACATTGGGGTAGAGGGAAGCGGATGTTTCGCCTTCGACGCGAGGAGTATCGGGAGGCAAGGCACATCTTCCTTTGGGCCTTCCTGGCGCCACAGCAGCGGCCCGGGCGCATGCGGGGATCGCATCGGGGCTTTGGGCGCGGGGCACCCCCCAACTTCGAAGAGGTGGTTTTTTCAATATGGGGGCGGGGGTTCCGTTGGTTTCCCCTTGAGCACCAAAAAGGGCTACCGCCAGAAATCGAAAAAGGACGCCCGCTGGTGGACGGCATTTTCCCTTGAGAAGTGGTTTCCTCAACAAAAGGCTGAATCAGAGGCAGCAAGTTCCCATCTCATGAATTCAAGGGTTTCTTGGAGACCCGATTGCGATTCCCCGATTTCACAGGGGTACTGCAGATACCAGATTCTCTGGGAACAAAGGGCTTTGAGCCCACAATTGCCGTACGTTTGGCCCAGGCTTGCGTATCCCCTTTTGATCAGACCTTAGGTCAGTGGGTGGGGGCGGGGGGAACCTTAGGTTCCCACATGTCCGAGCTTGGAGTCCCACCACCAGCGACCCCGAAATGGCGTGGTTTTCCTTTGGTTTCCCTGTGAACTCACTAGCTTTACCGTCCCAAAGTGACCGCCTCGATTCGAAAGCGACCGGCAGCGGCGTTTTTTTGAAGGACACCGAAGCCGAAGCGTCCGAGGTGGGTCATGCACGCGCGGCTCTACACCAAAGCCTCCGTGGTGGAGGCCCGGCGTAGGTCCCTCTGCCCCTTTCAGCCCGCAGTGCTGAGCCCTGATTTTTACACCCCGCATGTCAGGGCTAGGTGCCCCAGTAGTGCCCTTTCTCACCCCTTTTTTGCTTGGGAGGGTAGAAAAAACCTCTCTACTGGAGGACCTAGAGGGGGAGCCTGTTTGGTGAACATTCCTTTCTTCCAGGAGAAGGACCCCGGTGGGTTTTTTCTCAGGGGTCAACATGAACAGATCTCATGGACTGCCGCATGCTTTAAACAGGCTCCGTTTGGTTTCTTGATTCAACCTCCAGTTCATTCACCCAGCTCTTTTGCTTTCTGTTTCAGCCACGATTATTGAATCAAGGACTTTCGCTTTCCGTTCAAGCCAAGATTGATGCAGAGCTCTATTTGGCTTCCTAGTGTTCAATCAAACTTTGTTTGGCTTTCCGCTGAAGCCGCTTTTGATTAATCAATCTACGTTTCAGCTTAAGTTCAATCAAGCTCTTTTGGGTTTCCGCTCTTCCCAAATTTCAGAGTCCATGGCAGTTGGCAACTTGTGGTCTTTTCTCGTTCTCCTTCTACCGATTTGAAATTGGAAAAAGCTGGTTGTGGGCGTTTCCCGTGCGAAGCCTTGAGGTCATAGTTGTCGTTTCTTGGTTGTTTTGGTGGAAAATGGATGGCCCTGGTTTACCTGGTGGTTGAATCATCTACCAGGGCCATCTATTTCCCTTAGAAGGACACCTATGCTTGAGCTGTTTTTTCCCGGTGAATCCCCCGGTGGCATCAACCGACGCCGGATGCTCGGCTCGGCCGGCTCGCTCGGCTCGAAGGCGGGACAGCTGATGCTGATCACGGCCTACACCATGGTCTTTGGCCTCATGGCCGTCCAGGCGCTTGAGCTGGCGCTGGCGCGCGTTTTTTGTTTTTGTCGCTGTGTGTTTTGCTCATTTGTTTGTCTCGCAAACCAAATTTGTTTGCCGGAAGACTGTTTGGTCGACAACCCGGGCCCTCGGCAATTGTTCTCGTGTTTTTTTGTTTTAGGGGGATTTGGGGGGGAAGTCTGCTTGGGATTTGGGGGTAGGCTCTCAAGTCCTCGTGTCGATGGATGCGCAAATGTTCAGTTACATGAGCGCAGGCGCGGGAAGATAATTTGAGTTTTGAACGGCATGAAGGAAGTAGATCTGGCTGTGAATCAAAACCAATGGTACCATCTTGGGATGGGTGCACCACCCATTTTAGTCGATTTCAGTGGGGATTGGGGTGTTCACTGGGGGTACGGGATTTTGACCCAGGGCCATCTACGATGGCAAGCAATTAATTGGTCGAATCCTAGGGAGTGAGAGGATCCCATCATGGCAAGCAACACTTTGAGGTGTCCGATTGAATGAGCATTCCAGAATCTGCGTTTGCTAGTTGCTGGATTGGGGCGACAGAAAAACCAAACACTCAGCCAGAAGATATGTGCTTGGGTCGTACAAAAAAGTTGCTGGATGTTTCCCAAATCCAATCGGATGTGCCAAATGGGTCCGAGTTCCGGGTCCGAGACTCTTAGTTTCAGGGCCACTCTTCGGCCAGAGGAGTTTTGAGGTCTCAGGTGTGGGTCCGAGGTCCATCTCATGGCGAACTTGTAGGCTCCGAAGGACACCCAGAGTGAAAACATGGAGCCCACAGGTGCCGCCACCAAAACTCCATGGGTTTCCTTCTGGTGTTCGTAGCCAATTGGGGTAAAGGGTGCCCTCCAATCAAGAAAAACGCACACATCTCTTTGTCAAATCTTCGCAAGGTGGCTCTTTTGTTGAGGCCAAGGATCACTTTCCTGTTTTCCAGATCCTGCGTTGGGTTCCGGATCTGCTTGGCACAGTCACAGGGTCCGTTGGCACACGCCACGCAATGCTCAGGTTGATATGGATGCCGACTCCTGGATCAGACCACACTTGCAGGCGCGGGCTCCGCTAGCCCGGGATGACAACACGTTGGCGCAGAAAACTAAACGACTGCATCTTGGTGGCTCCCAGCCATCCCCTTAGCTTAGCCTTTTGCTGCTTAGTGGTCGTTTCCAATTATCCCACTAACAGTTAAGCTTTTAGCGGGGGATCTGAGGGCAGCCCAGGCATGTCATGGTTGTTTTATGTGAATCATTTTTCCTTTGCGCCTGGATCGCCTAGCTGTGTGCTGCAGCATGTTTCAGGAACTTCACTTGTTTGGGGCCAACTTGGGGCTGGGGTTGGGGCTGGGCGATCAGAGGGCTGGTTTTGTCCGATGAGATGTCGGGTTGCCCGTTTTGGCGATTCCAAAAGCTGCACCTTGATCTCCCATCCCCTTCGCATTTTTGTTGCTTTTTAGTCCACCAAAAGTTATTTTCTCTTTTAGCAAGGACTCCGAGGGGCATTTCCGCCTTCCGAATTTCCGGCTTCCGGCACCACCCGGTCTTTTCAGGTCCGCATCTTGTACACCCTCTCCACGCTTTCGATGATCTCCGTCTTTGTGAAGGCCTCCAGGATGCCCATGGAGCCCCTGATCGCCGCCAGACGAAGACGCGCATTCGGCTTCCGCGGAAGCCGAAGCCGAAGCCGTGCGGGTCCAAATCGGCGGCCCTAGACATGTGTTGTTTCTTTCTTGTCTTTCTACTGGGTGTTGGTGTTGTTTCAGCCATGATTGTTTTTTCTGGGTTTTGGTTGTGTGGTTCTTCTGTTCTTTTATCTTTTCACAAGTTTCCAGGAAATGCTGGCATTTCTTTTTTGGTTGGGAGGGGTTCCCCCTACTAAAGTAGACTGCAGAAAGAAGTTGGTACCTATTCTAACCTCTCTACTGGAGTACCTAGTCAAAATCGGAATCGGACCTCTTTGGATGGACGAAATCCATTTCGCACCACTGAGGATCCCTGGAATGATGCTTCCCCTGGGAATACCAACAAACCATGGTTTCCCATGGTGTCAAAGTGGTGCAGGAGTTGGTCCATTTGCAATGTGAAAAACCAGAACGAAAACCACCAACCACTCACTTCCTGAGCTCTTTTGAAAACGAGCATCCCGCATCAACCCACCAACCAAAAGGAATACCAACCACATGTTCCCTGATTTGTTTCCGGGTTCCATGCTTCCAACACCTCTGCCCGACGCATTCAGCTGCTTAGGGTTTCTTTGGGTCCTGTAAGGACGCCCCAGAGAATTTTGGGGCTGAGTTAGGGCCTTTGTTTTGGTATAGCTTGCAAGGTAGGGGAATATGGATGTGTGTGATACCGGGAACCCCCGAACCAAAATGATGGTGTTCTTTCTGGTTTTCCTTTTTTACCACCAAGTACCAAGAAGACTACCACCCCTGTTTAAACTGTTGGGGGATTTTTGAACGGATGAGCTGAGACTGGCATGCCGGCATTGTGGCAAGAGCATACTTCCCCCGCCAATGGCTGCAAATGACTGGTCCCTTGAAAATGACTGGGGGCCAGACTGGATCTGTTTGTGTGTTTTCGACCCCTTATTTTGATCCACCTGAACGTGGATCCCCCACCGAGGTCCGGCAATCAACGTGCCCCAAAAAACCGGCAATCCCCTTGTCACGCTCTCTTCATGTTTCGTCTTTTGCACTCCTGGTTTGCACCAGTGTTTTGGCGCGTGTTCATGCCGCCCAGACGCAAAAAGGGCCCTTTTCGCGCCGAGGCAAAGACTGGCAACTTCTACCTCAAGGTCAAGTATGTGGTTTGGAGCGGCTACCCCGTAGCCTATATGCTTAGGCGCGTGAGTGACCGGAAAAGGTCGTGCCTGATAGGGGATGTCCTTCAATATACCCCAACTATAGGTGCCAGAGCTACCTTCCCACATCTTCGACTTGTTTGGATTTGGGCGCTATCGGTTTTGCACTTATTTGGCAGAGGTCTCGGTTTGAATCGTCATATACTCAGGTTGCCCATAATTTTGTTGGTTTGTGTTGGTGGTTTGGATTTGGATTTGAATCGTGGGAAGCCACCAAACCCCAATCCCTAACCACCAATTGAAGGGAAGCTGACACACCTAGTGATGTCAGGCCTTTCTGTGCGTCTGGGATCAAAAGACCGGGTCGAACGTTGCAGTTACTGAGGTGTTCGCTGGGCTTGTGACAGTGCCACCATTTGGCTGTGGGTCAAAACCAATGGTACCATTCTGGGGTAGGTGCACCACCCACTAAATGGATTGGATGTTCACTGGGCCCACTTTCAAACATGTCCAGGTGTCCCTTTTGCCCATAATTGGCGCATTTTTCTTGGCATGAGGCTCCTTCCCAAACGACTCTCAGCGAAGGGTCCTCAGTGCCAGGTCGCTGGGGGTCCTCAGTGCCTGGCAAGAGGAAGTCCTCGTATACACCAGCCTGGACGTGCCCCGGACTTTGGAGAGGTTCTCCTACCCACGAGTCAGTCGTCTTAAGGCCATGAAACCCCCAAAAACACGTCTGCGCGTCCAGGGGAAGCCATACTGGCAGTCGGGGCGGCCATGAGCGTTGATGTTGTGTTGCCTACGGTTCAAGACATGGTGAAACCCCAAAAGAGGTCCCTTTCCACCGCACCCTTCCCCCCCTGTTTGCCTAACAAAACCCGGATACCCTATCAAGGACAGATTTGGATCAAACCACGGCAACTTTGGAAGGTTTGACGGTGCCATGTCCAGCTTCGAGGCGCTGCATATGTGAGCAAACCTAGGTCCCCCCCCGTTTTGGAGCAACAAATAACGCTCATGTCACTCCAAAACGCTCCATGAGAAAACACAAAGAAGCGCTCGATGGGAAAACTCTTTGGTGCGTGTGTGTGTGTGTGTGCCCCAATGTCCGCTCATATCCCGCTGATGTTCGCTCATTTCCCGCTGGTGTCCTCTCATTTCACGACGATGCCCGCTCATTTTTCCGGGATAAAACTGGCCAAATCAATATTTTCCGGCTCGTTTCATGCTTTCCCGCTCAAAATCTAAAAACAGCAAACAAATGCCCATGGGAGCCCCAAACAGTTGTCAAATGAACGCCCTATAGGAATGACAGAGAGCTAACCCACTTGAGGTTTGCGACCGCGTGTCTCTTCCGGTTGTTATTGTTGAGTTTGGTGAAGCATAGTGGTTCACCCAGAGTTCCGGCTCGTTAGTGTTTCCTTGGTTGTAGTTTGTGAAGTACAAAATGATTAGTTTCCTTTGGGTTCCCCGTTCTAGCTTGTTCAAAACCGAATCTCCAATGATTCGCGGATTTCGGATTGTGCGGTTTACGGATTAGATTATGCTGATTGCGGATTAGGGGCTGGATCTTCCATGCTTCAACATACGCGGTTTTGGCCCAAAGTCAGGGTCGCGGATGGCGGTCTTTTCAAGCAGATGGCCCACCAAATCAAGGAAGCGGATGAGCGATTGCGATTCGGCCCCCGGGATTTTGACAAGCCTTTTGATTGCCACAAAGGGGATCCATCTTGAGAGACTCCAATGCGTGAACAGTCTGAACCGTTTTTTTTTCTTTGTCGCTTTTTGCGACTTGTAGAAGAGCCAACTTCCTCTCTGACCTGAGTGTTGTTTTCAAGTCCAATCCAAACTTCTGGGCCAGGAGATTCTGAGATTCTGGATTCACGGGTTTTGTCAGTCAGGGGTCCTTTGTTTCAGGCATCTCCTGTTTGGACACCTGAGCCCTGCATCCGTTTGGGATGTGGCTCCTGACTCCTGGCCCAGCCGTCGCGCTCAGGTGGTCGCCAAATCACTTTCTTTGATTGCCAGTTCTACCGGGCCGTCCCTTGGAACGGACGAGGAGATGAAGCTGTCACCGGGGTGTTCGAGAAGATTGGACACGGTTTTGGAGGGTGTCCCAAATAGGAAAAACGACAGAAAGGTCCGCATCCAGGCGGGCGGTTGCTCTTTTTTTTTGGGCGACTGAAGTGCATCCATGTGCTTCTTGGACCCATCAGAACTCGGCGGTCACTAGTTTGGAGGCAAGTCATGGCCAGACTTCGCTTGCCTTGTTGGACTGTTTGCCTATGGGTTCCCCCCCCCCAATTTTCCCAAAGAGTCCCACCGCCTCCCTCAAGCGAAACGCAAGAGGGAAATATGAGGCACCATAGGCGTCCTTTTGATCGGTGAGCCTGGTTAAACATAGATGGCCCTGGTTTAGATGGGCTTTGTTCCATTTCGGGCCTATCTTTTCCAAAAGGCCACCTATGTGAGGCACTCTTTTATCCGGTTTGCTACATTCGAGTTGTTTGAGCTCCGGTGAAAGGCGACTCCCCGATGCTATCTTGGCACGTTTTGTTGGGGGAGTCGTCTGGAGCTTTGGGAAACCAAGGTGTGTTCTGAAAGGCCTCGCAGATGTTGGGCTGGACGGGTGCGGTCAACGTGTTGCTCAGAAGCGCCAGCGGGCGCTTTTTATGTTTTGCTTTGCTCGCTCTGCGGAGAGCAAGTGAGAACTGGGCGATTCATTTCACGAAGTTCGAGTTTAAATGATTGAAACCACCACCAGCAAAGACGGTGGTTGCTTTCCGCTTGTTTGGGTTGGCGAGCGAAGCTTAGGGGTGGGGTCTCCGATCCTGGCATCGGTGACTCAAAGCAATTCGCGCGTCAGAAGGGAAGGCTTACCTGCCCGTACCGGCCGACCTGTTACCTCTGTGTTTTTCCAGGTTCGTCTTTTTTCAGGATTTGGACCCCCAAAAATGAGGGTTTGTGTGAAGGGTGCTCCTTTGCCACAAGGATTCGTTACCCTCCCGAAAACGGATACACCCAAGGGGCCGAGCTGCACGCAACTCACTCCATTCGCCCATCGGGTGTCAAAGGCATCAACCAGTCCAGTGGGCTGTCCTGGCCGTCAAACTCAGTTGGCATTGGAGCCCTCCAAACCAGCAAGGATCGCCAAGGTACCTTCCGAACCTTTCCGATTTGGTGGGGGGATCTCGTCGGATGCCTGATCTCCTGGTTGGCTTATTGGGGTGTGCAATTAGTTTCGGAATGGATCCTCCACTACACTCTGGCCAGTCTTTGTCCAGCTCGACGTTCGAGTGCCCTGCTGTGAAAGCAAAGCTTGGTTGGGGGCGTTCTTGGTCGCGGTGTAGGGGCTGCTAAGGCTATATCGTACCGATATTCAAGTATATATATATATGTGTATATGCATGTTTTGTATATTTGTTTGTTTGTTTGGTTGTTTGGTTGTTTGTTTGTTTGTTTGTTTGTTTGTTTGTTTGTTTGTTTGTTTGTTATATTCATGGTTATGTGTGTATTTGTTCATTTAGTCATCGATCTTGCCGGACATGGCACAAGCCAGGCGCGCACTTTCTCCATTGCCGAACCTCCCACGAGAGCCACAGCACATGGGACATGGGCCCGTTCAGTTGAACCTTTCGCGTCGGAGAAAAATGGTCCATGCGGCAATCCGGTTTTTCTTGTCCAAGGAGAAGCCACTCGTCCATCCGCTCGCCAAAAACAAGGCTTACCCAATTCCTCAAAGGCCCTTGAAATCAACGTCTTCAGGGCCCAAGAATCATTGGGAGCCTCAGGGTAAACCATATGTGGCTGTGGGTCAAAATTCGGTACCCAAAATGGAAGCCTGGCAAATAGAACCAAGGACTAAAACGTGCGGTCTAATTCCCGGTGGTTTAATTTTGACCCATGCCCTCCCACCAACTAACATGGAAGTGCACGCAGGCCCTTTCCAAGAGGAAAGTCGTCTTTCTACAGGGGTCTGTGCACAAACCCATGCTCGCTGGGGAGCCCAAGAGAGCCCATGTTGCGCTCAGGCTTTTCACCTTGTTTCTCAGCACCTGGGGGCATTGGCACATCAGCGGGGGCATGCACGACTTCCGGGTCACGGTGCAAGAGCCGGACTGGGGGGTGCAGTCTGTGGAGATGGATCGCTCCACGGCTCCTCGGACTGGCAGCTGGCAGGTGGATGGGGGGGGGGGGGGGGCGGGGGGGCGTGCCATGGACGCCTAAGGTCTAGTTTGCAACCAGACCCTACAAAACCCATATACCCCAAAAGAAGGAGGTTGCAAAATAGACCCCAAGTGTCCACCATACGGGCGGGGGACCTGAGAAGAAGAAAAGGTGAAGGCAGGAAGCTTTGGGGTCTTAGGCGTACCCACAGGCAAAATCGCAGGGTGTTTGAAGGGTGGCAAGCCCTTAGCTACCTATTCTACCGGTAAATATGAATCCACTGGTTGGGGGTTAAGTTTCCCCTAGACAGGTTACGGAAGCAAACTTATGGGTGTTGATCGAAAGGTTATCAGAGCCCTTCTGGTGGATAGGGGGGTCTAAGGACTAGCACGGCCAAGTGTTTGCTATGCCCGGTGCAAGGTATTTGGCGCATGCTGAAAACTTCCCTATCTCCCTTTGGGGATTGCATTCGAGGCGTCACTTTCCCCTTGGGGCGCGCCAATCAACCCCACAGAACCTTTGGGATGACCCAAGGCTCAGGAATGCGTGAAACGAGTGAACAAAAACAATGTCACAAAAAACACATTGCCTCACCTGTCCAAAGCCAACCCCCCGGGAGGACATGTGTTGGCACCTATTTAGTCAAGCTCCTGGGATAAAGCTGTTCGTTGCAATGTCCAAGGGGCAAGCAAGGGCTGGTGGCTGCTTTGGGGTTAGGGCAATTTGGATGTGAAAGCAGACCTCTTCATATCCAGCTTACATTTGCTGGAGAGAACATGTTGTTTTTTGTTTCTTTTTTTTCTTGGCAGCTTTGAAGGGAGTCTCTCACTGGAACGGCGTTTTCTTTGCCACGGGAGTTCAGCGACTAGACGCCAAGTGTGTCGAAACGCTCCCTGTCGAAACTGCGGCCCGCGGGCCGTCTGATCCGATCTGGGATCCGGGCCATAGGAAGCCGGGGGGGCACCTTTTCCAGTGCTGAACCCAGGGATCCGAAGTTCTAGAAAGGGAAACCACCAAAAGTCCAGGGGAAACAGATCTGTTTTTTTTGTTTAATCCTCCAAACAGCGAAGCATTGGGGTACTAACTTGAGGTCTAGAGAATGGGAAAGTGTGACGCCGGTTCCGGGTTCTGTTTTCCGCTTGTCTTCCTGTCTCCCAGTCTCTCCGGTCAAATGCCAGATGCTGTGACGCCGCTCCAGTCAGATGCCAGATGCTGTGACACCGCTCCGGCGTCGTGTCTCCCGCTTGTCTCCCTGTGTCTCCCAGTCTCTGCGGTCAGACGCCAGACGCTGTGACGCCGGCTCCGGGGTTGTGTCTCCCGCTTGTCTCCCAGCGTCTCCAGCTTGTCTCCTGTGTCTCCCAGTTTGTGCGGTCAGATGTGAGATGCTGTTGACGCTGGCTCCAGGGTCGTGTCTCCCGCTTGTCTCCCCGTGTCTGGATGCCAGATGCTGGGTCGTGTCTCCCGCTCCCGCTTGTCTCCCAGTCTCTGCGGTCAGATCCTCCCACTTGTCTCCCTGTGTCCCCCCGTCTCTGCAATTAGCGCCAGCAAGTGGCGTTAGCAAGTTGCAGTAGTGAGTTGCACTAGGAAGCTGCAGCGTTTTGCGGCAAGCGCTGCGCGGAGAGAGAGCTTGCTCAGACAACTTGCTCATTGAAACTTGTTCAAAGAAACTTGTTGAGAGAACTTGCTCAGATAATTTGTGCCAAGAACTTGCTTGGAGAACTTGCTCAAAGGAACTTGCGCCAACAATTTCTCAGAGGAACTTGTGCAGAGAACTTGCTAGGATTGGCGCCGTGCGCTGCTCGTGCTTTCGGGCCACCCATCTTCTAGTCTGCTCTTGGTAGCATCACTGTAGTTCGAGCACCCTTTTTTGTTGGCAGTGCTGTTGTAAACCTTGCCTCCTATCTTGTTGCCAGTATTTGGCACCGTCTCAGTTGGATAGCCATGTGGCCCGGCCAAAATCATATCCAGTCTTTCGCTTCGCTAGCTGGTCCTGCGGCGCTTTTTCCTCATTGCAACCTATGTAATCCAGTCCCACTGACAAACGCATTTTGCTGAAGCATTTCACACCTTGCCAAGGTCGCAGTTTTGACCTATCTCTTTGCCTCCTGACAGAAGGGTTGAAGACGGATTTCTCAGCCTTGTTTTCCACATATTCCGCAATATGGACGCTGCTGTTTTGCACGTGTCCGCAAGCGTCCAGGGCTTGCAAGTGCGAGGGCTCAAGGGCTTTCATGGCGGGATGTCGTAAGGTGCCACTCTCTGATGCGCTAGCTTCCCTACAGTCTCTGGACCCATGGAACACCACAGCGGTTCAACGCGAGCTGTACTGCGTGGCGCTTGTGCTAGCCTCCCGCGGCGGGTATTTTTGGAAATCCGAGCAATTCCATTTCATTCTCGCAACCAACGTTCTTTTCCGAGATCTCGACTTGAATTTGGCAGCTCCGGGCGCTGGCGGGATGTGCTGATGGCATCAAGACCATCGCTCACCGAAGCGACACGTGCTACAGACATGGCCCATCCATTTCTTCTTTGACGACACAGCTTCGCCTCCACTACGCCTTGGACCCGTTCAAGCAAAAGGTTTCGGTGCTGCTGGACACTCTGCGTGCGTGGCGAACTCCCCAGCAACATTACGGAATGGCGGCTCTGGTGCTCAATGTGGTGATTGCAACAAGGACGCACGTCATGGCCATGTTTCGACACATGTTCGGTGGCTGTATAACCTAATAAGAGTTGCTAATGCCGCCGCCGTGTTTAATGGTTTCTTTTGGGGTCCCATCAACGAGAGCCGTTTCGCCAATCGCAGAGCCTTCCTGGCTTGGTGGTTTCCTGGTTACTTGCTCTTGGAGATCTGGTCCTATCGCAGAGAGGGACGAGCGAACACACAGTCAAACAGGCGTGCTTATCATCTTGTTGCATCGTAAGGGGGGGGGGTGCGAGCTCCAAGGTTTTTTCTGAGCGGTTTCCAGAAAGAATAGTCCTGGAAGTAAAGCCTGGGTGAGTCGGGTCCCCAGCCAAACCATTAGCTCGTAAGAGTTGTTCGCATCGTCCCTGCGCTTGTCGAGTTCTCCTCGAAAAACTTGATTGATCATAGGAGCCTTTTCCTGGCAACCTACTTCGCTGACCTTGACAACCTGGAAACAGTTCACGAACCCGGCCAGTTGATTACAGCGCTGCTGGGGCTGAGTGAACGCAAGGCCCAGAAGTTGTTGCCAGCTTGGAATGACGGCCGCCGGTCGTTCACCACACATGTGAGCACCAATCTGCGAACCATAAGCACCAACCCCACTGTGCAGCCAGCATTGGTAAGTTGGGGCAAACTTCTCACACGGTTCCGAGACGGAGCAGGGCTGGAGCTGACGTTCAAAGCCAAGCTTGTTCCAGAATGGAGCGGCGTTGGGCGCATGGAGCAAAGCCATGCGTTGGCCATCTTGCGAACGTGCGGCGCGCTGGACACGACAGAGATGAAGGCCCTGGATGACCAAGCTACTGCCGGCTCAAACACTGAGGATTTTCTGGAGCTGTGCCGGGTGACAGAGGTGCGCACCAAACGGGCACCTTTGCTGACGCTCGCCAATTTGGCGCGGCGTGTGTCTGCGTTGCTAGGCGAGGATGTCCCGGCCGTAACGCTACAAGGCGCAGTCTGCAAGTTTATGCAAGTGCTCTCCTGCTTTGCTTGTGGCAAGACCTGTAGCCGAGCTTGAGAAGATAGCAACCAGAAGTGGCATGTGTCCAGTCTCGGCCGCAAGCTGCTGAGACTGATGCGCAAGTTTCAGCAGAGTAGCGAGACGGCCACCAAATGCTGCGGTGATGGAAAAGTGCATTGAGGGTCCGTACTACGAAAGTTCCCTCGAAACTTCCTTTGACTAATGCCACGTGTTAGGTTGATTCACCCCGAATCCGGGGCCTTCACTCTCGAACATGCCATTGACATTGCATTTTTCCCCCTCGAAGCCGATGAACAACATCGATGCTTTTACCCGGCGTCAAGGAGATGGATGGACCCGATGTGTCCTCTTCCCAAAAAACGGACTTCCTACAGGGACACACATGGACTGATTGTAACTATGTGTTGCTCACATAAGCTACTCAATTTCGCACCTTACATGAAGGAGACAAGCCTTTTGTGGGTTATACAGACCTGTCATGTTTTTGCTGTTTGGGGTCGAGGCTGGTGTAATTAAAACGAGGCTGGTGTAATTAAAAAATCAAAAAACAATAGTAATAAAACAAACAAAAAACGATGGCTTTCACAGAATGGGGAATCCACCCTTAGAATAGTGATCAAACATAGAGTTCCGAAGGCGCGGGCTCTGGCCATTGGGACAAAGACTCTGGGTGCCAGCGAGATTTTTGTTCACGGGGGGGAGGCTTTCTGGTTTGTGAAGGGAAGGGCTTTTGGTTTTCTGCTTGACAGTCTTTGAGAAACAGCCACCCAATAAACCAACCATATTTCCATAGGGGTATAGTATAACCCTTCCCAGAGGTAAGATTCCCCGTCTTTTGGCGCTTGCGAGTGATGATCCATAGATTCGGGTACCAGTCTTCCCGTTCCCCGCTCCTATTTGGCCGCGGGTTCTGGTCAAACAGGCCCAGCAGATAAAGACCTCAAATAATAGCTTAAACAAAAAGGCTTCCCCAACTCATCAACCCCATTCGGGATATCAGGCGGCTCCGCCGAAATCCGAGTCGCTTCGGGGAAGCCATCTTGCCACAAGGGTAGAGTACAGCCCCGTTGGTGCCTGAAGCCTGCCGGTTCCCCGCTCATTTCTCAGTTGTTCAAAGCCGAGCTTTTGACCTTTTGGTTTTCCCTTTTTGGTCTACTGTTAGAGCTCCCAAAAGGTCCTTTTATAAACAGGTCCTTTGGGCAAGTGAGTCCAAGAATGATGGATGTGGGGGTTCCATGGTAACCTGTAGGGGTGTATGTTTCAACACTTTTGGGCAACTGAGATTTTTGGCGCGCGGGTTCTCAGCTGAGCTGAGGAGAAGGGAGAGCAAGCCACCGGCCTCAGGGCCGGGCAGAGCAACTTCCTCCGAGATGCGGTGGACGCCGAAGATGCGCAGCGATTGCAGCGCATCGCACAGCAGGAGAGGAGTGGTGGCAATGTTTGAGGACCATGGGGTGGAATTTTCCGCTGTTGCTTTCATTGTTTATGCTTTTGGGGCTGAATGTTTTCATTTTTTTGTATCAGGGCTGGGTTGGTTGTTGTTTGGTTGGTTGTCTGGTTGGTTGGATGGATGGATATGGTTGGTTGGATGGTTGGATGGTTGGTTGGATGGTTGGTTGGTTCCTGGCTCACACTTTCAGTTCCGTTTCGGATATTAGAAACATTTAGAAACTTTTGGGGAGTTTGGACTATTTTTGGAAATGCACAGTCTGGGTGCTGTTTTGGGCCCTCTCAGGAAGAGAGTTGGGGGTTGGTTTTAAAACGGGAACCAACAGGAAAACCGACCAAAAATTGAGGGGACCAATTCTAAGCACCACCTTCTTCGTGCTTTGCGGATTCAAGGGCGGCTTCATTTGTGCCCACGGGCAGTGCGCTGCGCTGTGGATTTCCCCGCAGGCGTCAGGGTTGCCCGACCATCCATGGTTGTTGTCGGGAAATATTTCACCTTTTTGCTTCTTGTGATTTAGTGGTCGAAATCCAAATCCACTTATCCGCCATTTTTTTGGGATTTTTTGCTCCCCTTACCCAACGTCAACGTCAAGAAAATCCCCCCATTAAAACACGGCCGCTCTGGAAAGCTGCGGGGCCTCCGAATCCCCGCGCAGGTGGACACCCAGTTGAGCTTCATGGCCCAGCCCCTCGGTCGGTGAGAAAAGGAGCGCCCGGGTCTTGGGGTTGATCCGGGGATCCGTGTCTCACTCCCTCAGACGAATTTCTTATCTCTTAAAAACTTTCATCTTTTCTCGACTTTTTGGGTAACGTGGGCTATATGGCTGTAAGAGATGAGAACTTCCCCAGGGCTTGGAGTTTTACGGGGTAAGTTGGGGTTGCTGATCCGGGGATCCCTGTCACTCCCTCAGACGAATTGTTAGAAGCTCCCCCAACTGGCCGTACATGGAACCAAGTCTTCCAAAGGGGCCCTGGGAGCTTCCATGTTTGCCTGGAGAAAGATTCGCTCTTTGGCTTTTCAGGTCCCATGGGCTGACAGCAAGCTGGCCACTTTCTCCAGGGGAAGACTATGGCTAAACACAGATCTCTCCACGGGCTGACCAGATGTAAGGCCACACATGTCCAGCTTAAGTCCACTGATTAGTGGAGTGTACCCTCTGGGTGACTGCCTTGGGATGTGGGATGTGGCAGGGATCCGTGTTCTATACTCTTTGAGTCAGTGCGCTTTTACAGGTATTGAGATTTGGCACGTCCAAGTACCCTGGATGCAGGCGCTTGTCCAATATGTATTCGTCCGAGCCCGTCCAAGCCCTACGCGTTGGTGTTCCACGTTCGGTTCTGGAGAGAGCTCACGCTAAGTTTCATGAAGGATATGGACAGCAGGATTCTGTGTTGCAGAAGCGAGGGATCTGAGAGTATGTCCATCGTGGCCACTTGCTTTGGCCCAACATTGGAATATCTTGACCTTGGCCGTAGACAAGTACAATCACTATTTGCAGGATTCATTATTCACTAGTTATACCGGCTTATACATTTTGTACGCGCCGGAGTGTTGTTTAATACTGGTATGTAGACACTCTGCATCTCTGCATCGTCATATGCCGACATGCATCCAGGTGGTTTTACGTTTGGCCAAGAATCCATTCGAGTGGCAATCTGAGTGCAAGCCTAGTTTTCACGGTGAGTGGTGCGTGGTACAACGCTGTTAGACACAAGTATGTTCACCGTAGGGACCATCTACTATAGGAAGAAGCCCCTCGCATAGACCGAATAGCGGTCTCAGAGCTATAGCTGTCCCAAAGCTATAGCTGTTCAAGAGCCACATGTAGTTTGCATTGGTCCAAGATCCTGCTTCAAAAGTCAGGCAGTTTTTCGTTCTTCGCATTTCGGCTTTCAGGGCTTTAAACACAACTCGTCGAGCGCAAAGTAAGCATCGTCCACTTCCAGTGATGGAAAGAGGGTACACCCACCAGATGGTCGACCCTTCAGGTTTCACGTCAGGATTTCAGAACCTCTCAGAAAAGATACATAATTGTTAGATATCGGTTTGAGCATTATACCGGGCTCTGGGAAAAGCAGGAGCTCACCCTTCGTGGCTGCCTTTCTTTGGTGATGATCTTTCCGGTTTATGATTCTTATTTTATTTGTATGTAGCCAGTAATCCTTGACTTCTATTTCTTATAAATAGATACACTACGTGTATGAGTTTTTGCAGACTCCTTATTTCAGCACGATTTGCCCATCCAAGGAAAACACCCATCACGGTGAAGCTGGGCAATGTCAGCGTGGGCGCGGAATGCTATGTCTCCCGCCCTTCGGCTTTTTTGTGTTTCTTTTTCTTTGATCAGGGTCAGGGAGGGTTCGGGGAGGGAGCCAATGCAGGGTCAGCCAAACCAATACGCACACACAGAGCTCTCGGAACGCTGGATTATCCTTCTCACTTCCCATCAAATACGGGCTTGAGCCTTTAAAGCCCCTAAAACCCCTAAAGCCCCTAAATTTCATGAAGCCCCTAAAACCCCTAAAGCCTCTAAAGACCCTAAAGCCCCTAAATTCCTAAAGCCCCTAAATTTCATGAAGCCCCTAAAACCCCTAAAGCCTCTAAAGACCCTAAAGCCCCTAAAGCCCCTAAAACCCCTAAAGCCCCTACAGCCCCTAAACCCCTAAAGCCCCTAAAACCCTGAAAGCCCCTAATACCCCTAAAGCCTCTAAAGCCTCTAGAGCCCCTAAAAACGCCTCTAGAACCTCCAGAGCCCCAACCCTCCAGAACCCCTACATCCCCTTCATCTGCTCGAGCTTCCAGAACCCCCAACTCCCCGCCTGCGCAGAGCCCACTTTCCACGTCTCAGGATCTCTGTGGGGCTCCAGGCAGCTGGCCATCACGGTGCGCCATGCCGAGGCCTCCAAGCCCAAGGGCGCCTCGATCTCGATCTGGACGCCTTCCTCGGGGTGGGAAGGTTCCACGGGGAAAAACGAGCGGAAAACGGGGCCCAAGGGGAAAAACACGAAGGAAACACGTGGGAATTCGTATGAATGGAACACATGCGGTTCGTTCCCTTAGTATGTGGCCTTCCTATGGCGTACCAATTTACCATAAACAACATATGGTTGTGAGGGCACTTTTTTTTGTTTTTTTGGTTTTGCTGGGAAACCACGAGGAAAACCACCACTTTGAAAGGGCCTGCAAAGAAAGACACGCCACCCCACATGGCGGGCTGAAACCTCCTCTGTGATGTGCTTCCTTATTGTACCCTTTCTGTTTCTAGTAGGTCATTTCTTGGCTCACAAAACCATCAGGCAGACAACCTGCAAGATACCTTCGGGAACCTAGCAAAGGAACAGGACACAAGAGGAACACACGTAATGTTGTCCGCGGCTCATTTTTCAGCCCAAAACAAGCACCTGCATGCCAGCAGCAACAAGCATTGCTGGAGTATGTTTATTTTGGGACTGGTGTTTGGTTGAGCCAGGTTGAATTTTCGGGTGCCGAGGTACCCTCTACTGGCACTGCGGTGTCCAAGCCTATGAGGATACTTTAGGGTGGGCCAAATATGAGACATCAGAGCACGTGTTATCTTCTCAAGCCTTTAATTGGGAAGCCGAACCACCCATCCCCTGAGTCACCAATGGGAAGCTGATTTCCGTCCCCCGGCCCAGACAGACCCTACCAGTCGGTAGAATTCTCCTTGGCCATGGCTGGGAGTGGTAGCTTTGCCGTAAAACGCAACACGCAAAGCGAGTTACGTCGAACAATTCCGCAAGATGACTTGCCTAAGCTGGACAGCCACACAGACAGCAAAAAGTCCATCAAACTACGCGGGGCCTCAAGCGGCCTCAAGCATGAGGCTGGCTGCGGTCCTATTCAGTAACAGCCTTAGCTGTGAGATCACGCCTCCTGTGTGGAGATTCCCGTCCGGGGCACTTCGATTCATTGCCCCTGGGCCTCTGTCAAACAGGCTGGCAGGCCGCCGCATCTTGCTGCAGCCAACCGGCCCAACCAGCAAAACAAAGGCTCCCAGGAAGGCGGCGTAACTTGTCGTGTCTGCTTGGAGTGCTTGCAAACCTGGTTCTGAAAAAAGAGAGAGAGAGAGTTGTTTCCCACATCTGTTTGTCAAGGCTCTGTCGCAGCTGTTTGTCACAAGTTCTGCCAGCGGGCGCCTGCAGGTTGGCCTCTGTTTCTTCCAGTTCCCTCTAGCTTTCCATCCAGGTGTCTTGGCCACAGGCCCGGCCATGGCCTTGTTGCAAGTCTCGCCCTCAAGCGCCGGGCGAGCGCCGGGCGGGAGCTCGAGCGCGAGATCTGAGGCGAGGACGACGCAGGGAGCCTCAGCTCCCGCAGCTCCAGCGCCGAGTCGGAGACGAAGAGCAAGACGGCGACGCTGACCTCTGGCAAGGCGGGGATGGCCTCTGGGCGCCCTGGGCTTGGCTGACCCACTCGGCAATGACTGCGGGCACGGCTGGGTCTCTCCAGGTGGTTTTTCTCGTTTTTTTTGGGCCCTATGCGCATGGTTGTTTGTGTTTTTGTTTGGTTTGCTGTTGTTGGGTTTTGTTTGGTTGCTTGTTTGCTTTTGTTTGTGTGTTTGTTGATTTCTTGGATTGTTTGGTTTGCTTTTGTTGGGGTTGGGTTGTTTGTTTTGTTTTGCTTGTGTGTGTGTTTGTTTGGCTTCGCTGGGCATGGGTTGTTTTGTTTGCTTGTTTGTTTGTTTGTTTGTTTGTTTGGCTTGCCTTGGTTTGCATTGGTTTTGCTTTTGATTGCTTGTTTGTTTCTTTCTTCTTCTTTTTTGTTTGCTTGCTTGCTTGCTTGCTTGTTTGTTTGTTTGTTTGTTTGTTTGTTTGTTTGTTCGTTTTTATTTGTTTGCTTGTTTGTTTGTTTGTTTGTCTGTTTGTTTCTCTGCCTGTCAGCGTTTGTCTTTCTGTTCGTGCGGTCGGTCGGTCGGTCGGTCTGTCTGTCTGTCCGTCCGTCTGTCTGTCTGTCTGTCTGTCTGTTTGTCTGTTTGTTTGTATTTTGTCTTTTTGTATGTTCGCATGCATGCTGGCTTGCTCGCTCGCTCGCTCGCTCGCTTGCTTGCTTGCTTGCTTGCTTTATGTTTGGTCGGCTGGTTGGCTGGATGGCTGGCTGGCTGGCTGGCTGGCTGGCTTGCTGGTTGGTTGGTTGGTTGTTTAACTGCGTGCTGGTGTGTTTGTTCAATGCTGGTGACTGATTTCCCAGCAGGGCTATGCAAGAAGTTGTTTCCCACATGTTTCAGTTACCCTTTAGTTGGTGGTTTGAAAGTGGCGGTTGGTACAGGGTGAAGCTGAATTTGTTGATGCAGCATCTCCCCGAACGGATCGCAACTTCCTACGTGTGATCTTCAACTACTTCCTTGAATATGTTCATGAAACTCCAAACGCTAAGCCCGCCAGTTTGCAAATATACCTCGGCTGCTTTGTGTTAGGCTTTGCCACGTTGATCAAGTTTGGCAGAGGGCTGCAGGTTCCCCGATCCCCAAATGTGGTCTCCTTTCGGCTTGCGTTAATAGCCAAGGTGAAAAAGGGATAGACCAAGCGACCAATTCGAACAGTGCGTCTCTTTGCCCGATCCCTGTGCGTCAGGTGGCTTTGCATCAATATCTTGCAGAGCGCACGGATTCCAGCGAGGTTGGTGAGAAGTACTGGCAGACACGCCTTGCCTCTGAACAGACTGATTAGGGCATAGAGCCCGTTTCCGCACGCCGCACGGTCACCCGCGTGCAACGTGGATATCTGGCTCTCACTTTGAATCGCTTCAGAATCATGGCGCGTTGCACTCAGCTCTAGCAGAGTAAAGCAATAGTGTTGCGCCGATGGAGAAGTGCGGCCAGGTCAGACCTCTGATAGAAGTGCCACCAGACCCCTGGAACATACCCTGAATCTGAAGGATAAGCCAAAATAAAAATCAACTTTGGGGTAAAGAGGTCGTGGTGAGTGGGAAAGGTCTTGCGAAAACCGCTCCTTTTTTTGGGCTGGGCGGCATTTTGCAGCCTCCAGTTCAAACAGACGCAGAATCGATCTTGAAATCTTCATTCAGGAGGGGTCTGTGGATTTGCTTGAAACGGGGTCAAAAAGCAAACCTCGTTTGGAGCACTCTCTAGGTTGCTGTGAGTGTATGTCACAGGAGCCACTGTCAGCCAGTCAACACATTGGGTGCTGAATCACAGAATCACAGCCCCCAGTGAGCAATACTCGTTCCCTCTTTTGGCTTACCGGTGATTCCGGCAAGGCTGACCGCAAGCTCATGAATCTGGCTGATTTATTGCAAGCTCAACTGGGGTTATACCGAGCTCACCATTCTAAAGGTTCTTTACTTGGCAGGGCTCCTTGAAAGATACATTCTGCCCATTTGAAACATGGCTTTTTCTTCCACTAAAATTAAGGGAAGCCGCCATTTACAAGTTGCGATGTTCCGGGATCCCTTCTTGAGGATCCCTGAAGTTCAGCTTTCGGAGTAGCAGTGACCTTTGCAGATGAATTTGGCACCCAGTGAGTCCATTCGCAGGGCCGAGCCAGGCCGTTTCACACCACCTGGCCGAAGGCAGAAAGCGCGGAACCGGAGTCGAGTTGCAAGAGAGCCGTGCCCGTTTTGACTTGGCGCTACATCGCTCGCAACTTGTTTGCCTTCCCAACAAGATCAATGAAAAGGAGATGATGTTGCTTTTTTATATTTCGGCGGAGCCCCTACTGTGATGATACCAGGAAACCTTGCTTTTGGTGTTAGATGCGGAGGCTTGGGACAAGCCACATGTCTTCTCCGCCCACGGGGCCGGAGAGCCGTCAAGAAGCCGTTTGCCGATTTTGGGGGTTCCTCCTTTCTCAGGCGAGGCGGCGAGGCATTCCAGCTAATGGCCCCTTTGGGCCAACTTAGCCAGCCCAAATTCTTGACCTACCCGGGGTCTTCTTCATGTGTTTGCATGTCAGGAATTTCGGATTTTTGGGGAAGTGAGTGATGGGATCCTTGAACTTCAACGTCGGATTTCCCATACCCACAGAGAGTGAAGCACTTTTTGCAGAGGGGTCGTTCCAGCAGACAGGACTAAGGTGAGTTGCCTTTGGCTGGGGTGACGTTGAAGGGGTGTATCAAGAAAGAGGTGACCCTTAAACAAACTGTCCTGTTCATTTCCGTTTAGAACCGACCAAAGTCCCAAACTGCAAAAACCGGACACCCCAAATGTCCCCCTTTCCCAAACCGTCCCCCCCTTTCCTCCGGCGCAGGACGGCAGCGCTGGGCGGGGCGCGGGCGTCTTTGCGGGTCACCAAGCGGGCCCTCGGCTTTCAGAGCTGCCTAGACCAGGCGCCGAGTCCCGCCGCGCCTGCCTGCCGCCGAGTCACCGGAGGTCAGATTAGGTACCAACAAGGTTTGAGGTCCGGGGAAATTGGAACAAAAAGACCAGGTGAGTGGCAAGCAACAGGTTTGGGCACCTTTTCTTGGCCAGTCCCCTTTGAAGCGAATCTATTCTTCTACTGGACATAGTTTCACATTTTTCTAGGCGGCTTAATTGGCAAACGGAAGTTGGGTAACCCGAAAATGGTGGTGTTCCTTTGGGTTCCTCTTATTTAGCCCAAAAGAATGAGATTGATCCGGGAACCCCAAGATGATTCGTTGTTTAGTTGTTTTCCAAATGTTTTTTTTGTTTCTTCTACTAAACAAAAAAACATCCCTTATTTGAGTTCGCCGGGAGTTGGCAGCCCGAAAATGGCTGCGTCGGCTTTCCCTTTGTTTCAACCAACCTTTCCCTGACTTTGGTTTGGTATGGATTGGGCAACCCAAAACAGTTGTTTTCCTGAGGTATTCAGCCTTGAAACCAGCCTCAACATGTTGTTTTGCAGGGATTGGCAATCACAAAATGGTGGTTTCGGTTTTCCTTTGATTGTCCTGAAGCCACCATTTTTTTTGTGGCAAACAAAAAGTTTGGGTATCGTCTATTTGGTCAGTCCACTCAGGGAGTGAGAGTTTGACAATGCCCACATGAGTATCCTGAGCTTTTTGTCGTTTGGCCAGGAAGCCATGGACAAAGAGTTCCAGAGCCAGGACAGGGCCCTCGGAACCTTCCAAGTGTCATAGCCGGGTTCTCCAGGTGAAATGCACTCCCCCCGTGTTGGTCTTTTTGCTTTAGTGTGTGTGTGTGTGTGTTGATTTCTAAAGGTAGGACTTGTCTGGGATTTTAGTGTTGTTCATATGCGCTGACACGCTGTAGTTAGGCTTATGCGATATCGACAATCCAGAAGTATGGTTTGAAGTTGCAACCTCATGAAGAGTGGAATTGGTTGCTGGTTGGTGTCAACCCTTAGAATTCCAGTTTCAGTCCCATCGTGCTTGAGGAGTGCCATAAATGGAGCCCAGGCTCCCACTTTTGATGGGACTGTGTTTTGCTGATCTTGGCAGGGGGAAATGGACAATTGTTGGTTACCTACTCTCGTAAGGGAGCTTGGGTCGCCGGCAAAAACAAAACGGAAAACAAAACGCAAAACGTTTGTTGGTTACCCAGTATAGGGCTCAAGGGGGGACTTGGGGGGTTGGGTGTCCCCTCAAGCCCTTCAAATGGTCTTCCCCTCCAAAAACCCGAAAATATTTCTGGACAGTTGGTGGCCTACAGGCCTGAAGGGAAATTCTTCGGGTCCCTTCCAAACCTTTGGCTCCAAGCCAGGTCCAAAGGGGGGACATGGTCTTTGTTTGGGTAGCCAACTATTTGTTGGGGGACCCCCAAGAAAAAGTGGGCCCTTCACCCCCAGGCAGTTTTTGGGTTTTGCTTCAAGCCCCTCACCCCTTCTTCCAGCCCTCCGCCACGGAAGGTCCAGGCGCTGGAGGCCCGCCTCAGCGGGGCAGTGGCCTGCGCGCGCCAGGAGGCCGGAAAGTTTGGGGGAGTTTTGTTTTTTTCTTTCCGCGGATGGGCATGGACCAAGTCCCAAATCCCAATCGTCCAGAAAATACAAGGACACGCGGAAGGAAGTTTTCAAGAGGGGTCCGTGGCCCCTAAGACGAGATGGCGCTTCTGGAGGATGGCTTTTGGATGCTTTTGGATGGCTCCATGTTCATTTGCAGAGTGGTGCTGCGCCCTGTCGCTTGTTCAGCCACACGGGTGTGGTTCCCCTTTGGCGCCATGTTCTAGAGCGAAGGTTCCTGTCTGATTGCTTGTGGCGGTTTGCAGTTTGCAGATGGCCCTGGGTAACCTACGGGAATGACCGGAAGAGCTTACGGGAAGGCAGGCAAAAAAAAAGGCGTCTGGTCAGCTGCAAAAACCGCCCATTTTCACGCAGCGGAAGCAGAGATTGGGAGACGCCTGGCTTTCACGGGGCCTCAAAGTGGGGTCATGTCTTTTCCTCCTTGGAAGCTGACTAAGGCAAAATCTGAGCAGAGTTTCAGTCATCCCTCTGTCGGTGGTTTGCATTGGCGGTTGGATAACTGGGAACCCACCCTGGAAAACCTCCAAACCACAGATTTGGCTTCCTTTTCGAGGGAAGCTGACTTGTGATACCAATCGGCAAGAAAGCTGCAAAGGAGCTGCCGGTTGCTTGCTTTTGAAGGGAAACCTAAAAAGGAAAGGAAGCTCCAACCACTTGCTGGTGCGACAAATGGAATGACCCCTATAAAAGCCATCCATCCTATGGTTTCCTTTATTCGGGAATCCCCCCACCCCCTCCCGACTCATTCCCTACTCGGTCCCCCAGTAGTGCCCTTTTACGCCTTTTTTTGGGGAAGGTTCCGGAACCTACTAAACTAGACTGCAGGAAAAAAGAAAAACAAAACGGGTACCATCTTATTCTAACTTTTCAATTCTGGAGGGCCTAAGTGATATTATCTGTTTCCACACTTTGTTTTAAAACTTATTCCAACCTCTCAAATCTGGAGGACCTACGTGAAATTTGTTTCCACGGTTGGATGAAAGGGGGGCTTCCTCGTTCAACCCTCGAACCGATTTGATCGGACCTAGCCTATCGCAGCGACAGCAGGTGTCCTCTTTGGCCTTGGAGACGCTCACGGATCCCGAGGCCTTCCTCAGTGCCCTGGAATCGAACAAATCTAGGGGTACCTTCCATTTCCATTCTTTTTGGGGATCCTTCTTTCTAGAAAACCTCAAGAATCCCAGGGGAAAGGAATCGGCAGAACGGGGGGGGGGGCTAGAAACGAGTTTTTTTGGTTTACTCGGAAGTTATTTTATTTCCCGTTGGGAAACATATTTTTTCTTTTTCGGAAATGCTTTGCTTTCCCGTTTTGATGAAGGGAATCATTAAACAGCAATAAGTCTGAAAATTATGCTTGGGATTCTTGGAGCGGAGATCAGACAATTTCAGGAATCGGGCTCATGTGTTGTCCCGGCGACAGGTTTTCACCTGGTGTCGGTTTAGGGTACTGTTATTGTTTGTTTTGGTTTGGGGCGGGGGAGTGTCTCAAAGGTTTCTTTTACCATTTGTTGTATTGGGTGTTTTTTTTAATGTGGCCTTTTTTTCAACATGGGTGTGAAGGCAAACCACAAGGAAACCACGCACTGATCTTCTGTGTTCCCCTGTTTTAAGACACGCCCATGTCGGCTTATTAAGTTCCACCTCAATCTTCGCGAAAGAAGCGAACTTGGGGAATTCGCTGGTGGGAGCAGGGGTTTTATCCCCACTGCTGTAATTCGAGGGAATCTCCTCTTACTGGGGGGGGAGTGTTTGGGAGGCCCTTTTTGTTGTATCACAGAAGTTGTCATTTCCCACAGCCCTGCTGCTTTTTAGCTGGAGGTTGGGAGATTCCGCCTGTCTTAGCGAATGGGAAGCCCCGCCAATTTCCGCCTCTCGCTCGGGGGGCTGGCTCGGAGCGAGCCCTCTGCACCGCCGCGACAGGGAAACGGCGAGTCTTAGGCAAGCTGGTTGTTTAACCTCTGCTG